AGTGCGACACCGAAGTCTTTCCGGATCATTCTTTAAGCCGGACCCCTAACCCTGAACGCTTAGAACTTAAGCCTCTACCTCCTTCATCCTGCGGGGATGAAGAACGCTTGTCCTAGTTCGCATGTCAGACGTCGACTTTCTTCTTGTTCTTCTTCTCATTGTCATATTATCGGTATTACGATTGCTATGTGAAGCCAGCATTTTCCTGGAGCGTCAGTGCTCTACGCACTGGTCTTCGTGGCGGACCAAATGTCCTGCGACTTCTTCACGCAAAGTCCGCAAATGACCAACATCTCGAGAGACAGAGAGCGTGCATAATTCGACGTCTCCGAGGGATGGACGAAACTGGGCAACTCACCGTTTGGCCAACCTGGATCATGCCTTGCTAGTTGTGGGGTAGCGCCGGTGAGATGTGCCAGATCTGACCACACTTGAACCGCAAACCACGAGCTCAAAAGCAGCAAGGCCAATATGACCCTGCAGTGATATACCGAAGGTGGGGCTCCTTGAGCTTCCGGACGCTGTCTCTCGGATCCATCTGAGCACAGACCATGCAGCATCAGAATTGCCAACGGAAGATGGCGAACATAATTTGGGCTGAGGAAGGCGAAGGCCCCCAGCACAAAGCACACAACAAGTGAACTCCAGATCGTGAGAGTCCAGCGCGCCACCTTGGAACATGGTTTTCCAACATCGATGGAAAGGACGAGCAGAGGCCCCACGAACTCGACGAGCATCCATCCGTACGATAGTAGGACTGTCATCCATGGCGTGTTGTTTGCCCAAGCATTGAAACCGGCAAAAAAGGACGGGGCGTCTAGAGCTTTCCGCATCCAACTCCCCGTAAGAACTGATGTCCAGCCAGCGTACCGCAGCTTCGCGAAGCCTGCTGCAAGGTAGTATGGCGCCAATATGCTCATGACCAGGAACTTCCACAGCCATGCCTGCGCAGAAGCATCTTCAGCATCTGCCACCACGAAGACAGCACCTACCACAAAGAAGTACGAGGAGCACACGCTGGTGGTGGGCGCAAACATCATGCTCAGGCTGCCGAAATAGAAGTACAGCGCCGCTCCCCAAGCATAGCACGTCGTGGAGGTCCTTCTCCAGCTGCATGGTGCGACCAGGAAGATGCACCAGGCAGCCAGCAGCGTGGCTCGAAGAACAGCATGAAAAGAGGCATAGCTGTCAGCGGTGTTGTCGTCCAGATCTGGCATGAAGAAATAGGTGAGGCGCGGCATTAGATGCGGCATTTCTTCGACGCTGTGACCTTCCAGTAGCCCCAGCTCCTCCTTGGTGGAACTCTCTGCCCTATCTTTTCAATACTTTCTTGAACTTCGGAATAGCTAAACAGCTAAACTCAAACGGCTGCAGATTGCAGCAGAGGTTCTCCTGGCCCATACGGATGTCGCCGCACTCGTCTCAGGGTTTCGGGCAAAGAGAGAACTGCAACCATCGGCGCTGTCACGCCAAGCAGCTCAATCAGTAACAGCACGCACGCATAGACTTTCAAGGAAATTACTGAAAGCTGTGGGCCGCGATGCCACCAGGCGGTAAGCTTATCGAGGCGGAAGGCCGGATTGTTTGCTGCCAGAGGCAACCCAGGCCGCCAGACCCCGAAGGCAGTGCAGAGAAGGACCAGTGGCACAAACCAGTAGGATCCAATGCCAAGCATGTCTTCACGCATGTCTTGTGCCGTGATGATTGCCAGTCGGTTCGAAGGGGGGCTAACGTTATAAAGACAGATATGCGTGAAGACGGAGCAGAGTCTTGGGTGAGAAGCCTTCCACTCTACCCATTGCTGGTCCACCAATGCTGGCGCCCAATTCCCGGGAACCTCTTGCAACGGCTCACCTCAGTTTCATTCCAAGCTCACGTTTGTCTTCAACGGTTTTCGATAGTGAGTACAGTGAGGCACAGTGAGGACCCTCCTTTACGCGACCCTAGTTGCTCTTCTTGTTTGGAACATCTCTGCCTGCAAGTCTGGTCTTCAAAGACAAGCTTGGGCGGCTGAAGGATGTGCATGGTTGGATGAGGACAGCCAGAAGCCAGAGCAGACTCCGAAGTGACCATCGCTTCGGTGGACTCGGCATCTGATGAAATATGGATGCGTTCGGTGAAGGGGTTTTCACCTCAGGCCTGTGAAGGCTTGAGCCATCGGGTTCCGGCGAGCAGAACAAGTGCACACCATATGCGTTTTAAAAGGAAACTACAGGTACTGAGCGAGGAACTCGTACTTCGTGTTTCGGAATCTTAAAGCCCTGAAATCGGTCAACCTTACACGCCAAGACAATTTCACAGCAGGGAGGGCCTTGGCTATAGATAAGTCAGATGTCAGATGCCAGCGAAGACACCTGTGTGGGGTCAAGCTTCCATATCTTCTTCTCCAGCAGGATTTGAAGCAATCAAAGTGAACGCCCTGCCAGCTTTGAGCATAGCTAGCAGCCTGCGCAAGAGGCAAGGCTCTCAGTGAATGACGGCCAAAGGACCAAGCTCCGAAGCCAAACCAGAAAAAGCTGAATAATGAGGCTCATTTTATGAGGGACATCCTTTGGTCCTTTGGCCGTCATTCACTGAGAGCCTTGCCTCTTGCGCAGGCTGCTAGCTATGCTCAAAGGATGTCCCTCATAAAATGAGCCTCACTATTCAGCTTTTTCTGGTTTGGCTTCGGAGCATCCTTTCAATTTGGGGCCGACCATAAGTGTCTTGAGCTGAGCACGCAATTGGAAGACTGTCCCTGCACAGTGCTTAGCAATAGTATGCCCCACGCCACTTTCCTTCACCTGGCTTCCCTCCCTCGCAACGCCTGTCAGTCCCTGTCTGGACTGCATCCATCTAGGTCCACATTTCTTTGGTACGGTTAGATTTCGCTAACCAGGTATGCATCTCAAAAACATTTCGGCACTCGAGGCAACCGAAGCATTTCGCGGTCAGAGTATCGTCTCTATTGGCACGCATGGTTGATATCGAAAAAGAAATGAGCCACCGCGCAGCATCCTGTCCGGGATACAGTCACTTTCGGCAGATGGTATAGGTGCACCAGGCTGCACGCGCCACAGGTAACAGTGAAGTCTTTGGCGAAGACTGGGAACACCAAAGAGGCAAGTGCACTACAACAGTTGGATGAATGATGGTCTCACTTGCTACTCAGTTACTGGGCGCTGCAAAGAACGAAAGCTCCAACGCCAGGCGGAATCTTCGTCCGTTGGCCTTTTCTTTTGCTCCGCTCTCTGTCCTACCTCTTCCCTGGTCCTCTCCACGCTAAACCCTCACTGTTATTATTTTTTGTGTGCAAACGTGTCAGAGGGGTTCGAGTCTGGAGGGCATGCTGCCTAGAGTTGACGTCTCTTGATGCTTGCTCCACTGTTCAGGACTTTGGGGCCTGTCGATGACATGTTCTTCTGGATTTTTCGCGGCGTACGCGCGAATGTCGAAAGTCGTCGAAGCTGCCGGCCTTGTCTTGAAACGGTATCTTATGAGATCAGACGAATGACAATCTACGCCGACGAGTTAAGCCCTGCGACCCCAAAGCTTACATCACTCAGTGGCAGAGGTGTTTAGCGTGTAGGTGCTTGTAAGGTTCTGGGTAAGCACCTGCAAGCACAACTTTGGGAGCCACTTTTGTGCAGACACTCAACAAAGCCTAGACAGCGGACTCCAAAACGGAAGGTTGTCACTCCACGATGAATCCAAACTCCGAACTCAGACATACCTGCTTGCACACGCATTTCAACTTGAGGCCTCCTTGGACTAGGATTCCTGCCTTACAATCAGCGTCTCTTGGCAACGTGCTAGCGGCGCCTCCACGCCATGCTCGCGCCATTGCAGCTTTGCTGCGCTGTGCCGTCCGCCGGGTCCCATACAAATTCATTGGAATCTGTGTGGAATTGGGCTGCCGGGATCAGATGAAGCCTGCGGATCTGGAAGCTTTCATGCGACCTCATTGCCAAGCTTTCAAAAACAGAGAAGCTGACGAGAATGCCATCCATTCGTGAATCTACCACGTCGGCCTCGAGCCGCTTGGCGAAGTCTGAGCCGCAAGACTGATGGGTTTGAACGAGGCCATGCAGTTTAGAGTTTAGACCATGTTGTGTAAATACAAGGAATCCAATAAACGAGGGATCCGAGCTTTTGCTTCATCGCGCAGGCCAGGCCTCTATCCTTTCCATATTGGCGGTAACATTGTGCTGAGCTACTCCTAGCACGCTCGTGTATGCACTGAAGCCTTCGAAATGCAGGCCGGAACAATCACAAGCCTCACGGTGTTCTCGTAATCATGCTGGAAGTCTTGATGTGAGAGCATTATTTAGGAGCTGCTGGGATGACCCTGCCAGATGCAGCAGCCTTTTAACGTTCTGACTACGTCCCTCCCTTGTCTGATAGAGGGGGCTGTGAGACATCGAAATGTATCCTCAGGCAGATCAGGGAAGCAATGACAATCTCAAGGAACAGCGAGCGAAGGTAGTTGGAGGAGGCCGAAGGAAAGACCTGGGGGGCATGCTGGCCATGTGAAGACGTTTCTTACTGCCCTTTGTTTGGTGTCGGTTTGCTTCCGTCATGACCAAAGCTGGCCCAGGCACGTACATGGAGAGCTCTCCCACAGGCCAAAGCATGTCGTGGTAGGAATCATGCGGTGTTGCACCACCTTGCTTGGTCTTCCACACAAAGGTACTGGGCCTCCATGTCTGGAATTGTTTTAATAACGAAAAGCTTGAGCACAAACACTAACCTCGCAGGGCGGCGGATGTGGTCAATATCTGACCAAAGCTGATTGCAGAGCCACAGCATCAGCAGCACAACGGCATAGCCCACGCGGCATAACCAAACTCTCGTCTCGCTCATTTCGATGACTTCTTTGTCGGCGCTGTCGGTCGGATGCCAGACAGAATAATACGACAACGCCAGCAAAGCTATTTGGCGTACAAAGTTTGGACCAACGAGTGTCAGACACACGACATGAAATAAGGCCACTAGCAAGATCCAACCTCGATCAGGGATGCAGAAAGCTCGTGCTTCCAGTTTGGGGACTTACCATGACTATCGCTATCCTCCAACCTGCAGCTTTTCGTTATCAGCTACAACATAGCCAAGTGCTGCTCTGTAAAGTTCTGGCGCCCAGTGGCAGGTTCGTAGCCAGCGGCTGAAATTTGTGCTGGAGCTCGCCGTGCAAAGCACCAAAACAGGGAGCAAAAACTCTGCTGACAACACTCCTTGGGCCAAAGCCAAGAAATGGGCTTGCGCTGTCGGCAAGACAGTACGTGTGGGAGCACCAAACATGTGTATGTGTGTGTTTGTTGATATGTATGTATGTGTAAGACTAGTAGCGGTATTATTGTGTTTAGTAGTTGTTCTTGNNTATAGATGTGGCTGAGTTTTGCAGCTCGTCGAGGCTTTTGATTCTGCATTAACACAGTCCGTTCTAAATCTAGAATACCTCGCTCATAGATGGTATACTTTCAGAATGAATCTGATGCTATAGTTTTTTGGAGTTTCAGCTGGAGGAGCTTTGTTCCCGAATGCGCAGCAGAAGG